AAAAAAAAAAAAAAAAAATGCTTCCTGGGCCAGGGAGATAGCTCAGCAGAATAAGTGCTTGCCTGGCAAGCAGAGGGTCCTGAGTTCATTCCCTGGTACTGCAGTAAATAAATAAATAAATAAGCTTCCTATGGTCAGTCTTTACAATGACACATAAGGTCTTTGAATCACCTAGGTTTTCTGACTGACTGCCATTTTATAAGTCTGCTATCCACAGGTAAGTGGGAAAATAAAATATATGTGAAGGAAAAATAAAATCAGAAAAATATTTTTAAGGAAATCAAAGGCAAGGGAGAAATAAATTATGTTTTATTAAAAATATAAAAATCATTTTAATGTTTGCTTTGGGATTGAGGTAGAAGCTGTCTTTGGAAAGAAAATCTAGATCTATTTGCTGTTTTTTTCAAAAGAAAATTTTCCTGTGTTTGAAAAATTTGCTGAAAGTTTTTTAGATGTTATCTATAATGTACTTTCTTCCAGACAAGCGTGTACAGCAGGATGTATAGCGAATAAAGCAAAGATCTTACAGGGCAGCTCCATTCTTTTTATGTTTTGCAACATTTGAGTTCACAGGATTCCTCTCTTTTATCACAATACCTTATCTCGTTTCTTACATTCAGTAGGCTCCAAATTCCCTTTTTTAAAAAATCTAGATTGTTCCTCACTTTTATTGAATAACACATTGCTAAAGGTAATTCTTGTATATGAGCAGGGATGTTTTCTAAGAAATTATAGTTCAATTTTATCATGTGATTATGTTTGAGTGAGTTGCAGAATAAATTCAGCTCTGCACATATTCAATAGATGTTTACTCATAGGTCAATAAATGATCTAAAATAGACAAATCTGTTTTATAAGGAATTACCATTTAGTTATTATATAAATCATGTAATGCTTCCTGGTTAGCAGATGGAACTGTATGTTGCTGCCATAACAATATTTAAAAGTATTCTGTAACCTAAGTAAGACCTCCCAGGTGGATACAACTCATTCTGTGTTTTCAGATCCAAAAATTAGCTCTTACTAGTGCACCCATAATTGCTCTTACTCTACACATAATTGCTTAGAATACCCTGTAAAGAGTGTTGTTGCTACCAAAGTTACTTTATATAAACTAGGGTCCGTGAAAATAATTTTCATATAAAATTTTCCTTAGTGAATGTTTAATTTTATTTA